GGAGGACCAGGAGCGCCAGGTTTCTGGGCTCTCTCCCTGGACTGAGATCGTTCGTAAAAGTCTTTGTGCATATTGACCTGATTCTTACGAACCCTCCAGCGGTCAATTTCGTTCTTGCAACGAGCACGAAGCCATTCATAGCTACAGACATCAGGGTTGGATATGTTCCTATCCCATTCCCTGATATCATGAGCCAAACAGTTGAGGTGTCTAACCTTCTCACTGAATAGCGACCGCTTCACCTGTTCGGTCAGCGGTTCATCGAGACCCGCAAGGATGTGATCCCACTTCGCGATGAACCTTTCAAGTCGCTCCTCTTCAGTATAGAAAGATGAAACACTGCATCGCAAGTTTGAGAGCTCAATTATCCTGAACGATTGCTCTCCAATGTTCGCAGTCCTTAAGTGGTCGTATAAGAGCCACAGGATCTGCCTACTCTTGATGCGATTGTTGGAGCGTTGAGCGGCCTCGGTGAGACGATTAATCTTATCGATGATCGCAACAGTCTTGATGCACTTCCGAATGGCTGCATTGAACCTGGCTTCAAGGATGTGGTATTTACATTCTCCATCCAGTTCATCAAAGGTCTTTGCCTTCTCGACTTCAGTTAGCCAATTGATGACGTAAAGTCCATCTTCATATTGGCTATCCATACCCTCAGCCCAGCCGCGTCGGGCTCTGGCGGGAGGTCTATGGAAATGCACTTAGTCGCAGCTGTACAGTTCGGATCATGGTGGCTACTGTATCCGCCGCCACCAGTTCCGAAAAAATGCTGTGGAACCTGAGAACTACCGATTGACAATGCACACACAGGACAAAGGCGTGTAGCCTTCGGAATACAAATCTCACATGCCCTTTTCATGCATATCTTACATTCCTCAACTTTACTGGGATCAGGAATATCCCGATCACACATCCGACATTTCTTGTCAGGAGGATCGGGGCCACGCATGGTCGGCGGCTCAAGGCCTGAAGGATCCTTCGGCCTTGCACCGTTGGGATCAAATCCTGGATAATATCCGGTTTCACGTTTATCCAGGGGCACGGGGTGCGTAGCCTTCGGGGGACTCTGAATGTTAGCCGCACCGGGCTGACCCCCAGTTGGGGTGTCGCGGAATCTGTCAACGGGTGGCCGCAGAGGCGGCGAGAACGACCGCGTCGGGTTCGTCTCAGGTATGCCTCCAGGCGACCTGTTCCTGACACGGTTACCATCGGGATCCCTTCTTCTCCTAGTCTCGTCCCTAAGGCACGCAAGACAACAGGGACCCTGGACAAATCCAAATCTCCTGTAGTCATCCTGCCCAGCAGAATGTCTGGTGCAGTAGTAGGTCTTACAAAATTGACACTCAATTCCCTTGGTCAGGAACGAGCTTTCCCTACAGACTCCGCATCGGGGTCCGTTACGGGAGCATTCTTCACACAGGTTCTCTTTAAATGAGAAACAATACTCACAAATATCACCTCTGCATCCCTTGCAGTGAAACTCAGCCACGAGATGATTATACCCATCACCTACATATTTACACCTGGGTTTACCAGGGTTGCCAGGGTTCCCACCGGCAGCACTCTTCTTCCCCCCTCCTCCTGGGCTCTGCCAATCTGGAGGAGGAGGTGGTGGAGGATCACCGTCAGGAGGGCCAGGTGGAGGTGGCCGCTTATCCGGAGTACGGGACGCGGCTCGCCTTCCTCCTGTGTGATCGTTCAATCCACTACTTGAGGCCTGGTTCGAGTGCCTTGACTCGAGGGAGTTAATTCTCTGGGCCGTATTACCCAGCACCTCGAGCATTTGCTCGAGCTTACTGTTGAGCGTAGTCGAAACGGCCATGTTATGAGTATTCTGCTTGTCCGTGTAGGATTTGCAGTCCCTTGACTTCATCTCAAGGTTGGCTTGTGTCTCATACAGTTGGTCTTTAACCCACTTTATGCCGTCCCTATTGTTGGTCCAGCGTTGTTCGACATCTTGCATCATCCTATCAATCTGACATACCCTAGTGGACAGGTCCTCGATTTTGAGGTTCACTCCACCAATAGCAGGATGGTTGGATTGGCTCTCCACTAGAGATCTCTCGATCATATCAACACGAGCTATAAGCCCGGTTACTCGATCAGAAAGAGATTCAAAAACAGTTTGAACCTGGGTGATGGAGCGAGCAACATCATCGTAGCTGGCTCGCTCGTTTAGGGCATCGCCTATGCTTATCATGCGATCGGCAACGATCTTGACGCGTTGGCCAAGCTCGGTCACGATGTCCTTAGTCCCTTGTGATAGCTGCATGGCCGCGTTCGCAGCCTGCGTACACGTGCCACTCATATGGACGCATTGGTCGTATTTGGCCCTCCACGAGCTAACCTCAGTGGAGAGCTGCTTGATGCATTGATCACTTCTATCATTCCTACGACCAAGGTCTTCGACCTTAGCAACCAGGCGATGAATAATTGCACTTACCGAAGAGTCCACTCTCCCTCTTTCAAGGGCTGTTACAAGATCAGCAACCTCGTTGGGTTGCTCCTCACTCGCAGGACCAAATCCTGATCCGCGATCTCGAGGAGTGGATAAATCAACCATGATTGGATTAGATCTCGGAGGAGTTCTGAAATCATCCTGCACGGCCGTTGATGGCCGTGGGAACTCACTCCGATTAGGAGATTGACTCTGATACGGAGCAGATCTCCTAGCATCACGAACCGCAGAGGGTTGTGTCATGCCCAGGCCTTTGGCCACGGGCAGTTTAGGAACAACAGGCCTATCCATTCGCATAGGAACATCAGGTCTCGAGTCAGCAATAACAATGTCATTCAAGTCGGTCGCATTGGACACTCTAGACTCAGACATCGATTCAATATCAGTCGCATTACTGATGGTATGATTGCGACTAGAACTTGATGCCATCATGGATTCAGATTCTATCGGAACATTAGCTCCGTCCATGTCGTCTAGGGCGAAAATGGAAGCCGCGTTGGGCGTAGGGCGAACACCTTGTGCGTTCATGCCACTTGACCTATTAAATTCCTCCTGGAATGCTTCGATTCCATCAAGCACGTTAACGAGTGTGTCCGCGTTTAGCGGGTCTCTACCAATGATTGACGCTGGATCACCTGATCGACCGCGTCCTGAGTCCCGCGCACTGGGGTTACCCCTGTGGGCGGTTTCCCGATCCATCCCCCTTGCCCTATGCGATCCAGTCGAATTTGACCTTGATCGTTTGCTCGGGGTTGGACTGGGATGCAAATCCAATCTATCTACGATATTACGCTCCCTAGGGCTCTCAAATCCTGAAAGTCCTGGGGGAGGGGACATGTTCCTCATGGTCGGGTTTACCGACGGCCTTGGCCTGACGTTACGGCTGGCCACGTCAGGATTGAGATTCTCAATCGACAAAGGTAGCATGAATTCATCGCTTCCAGCAGCCCGTTTTGGGCTTTGGAATTGCGGGAAAGATGACGGGGCGGGTGGCCCTGGCATCCATGCGGCAAAATCCATACCAAAAATGTTTCCGTCGTTGGGCCATGAGGCTCTCCAATCGAGCCCACCGGATTCGGTCGGCAGATGAACATCAAATGCAACTCCACTGGATGTACCAGGTTCGGGATTACCGAGCGCTTGAAAAACTATACTACTGGTTGGCACAGGTCTACTGCTACTTCGAGAGTCACGAATTTCGGACTGACCAATATTCATCAGCCCGGGGAAAGATGAGGATTGAGCTCCAGGTGCAATACCGGGCTCGTCATCATCACGTCCTGAGACGGAATCATCATGGCCAGGACGATTAGACCCACGACCCTGAGAGCGATTAGCTCTTGAGGCATTAGACGATAGGTCATCAGTGCGAGTAGCACTGGATCTTCCTGAAGGCATTGCTTCTGAAAAAGAGTGGTCCGACAAAAAGTCAGGACCGGAAAACATCGGCTGTCCGGGCACTTGGTCGTCATTCACAACGTCCAAGATTCCGGCCTGGCCGAGAACCCATTCGTCGGTCACCACATGAGGTCCGTCCTCAGTGATTCCCGACATGACGCCTACAGAGACCTACGGTACCTGCAGGGTTATTATTAAAAGGGGTTCGCGGTGCCAACCGAGGACGAATCCTACGGCTGATAACCTGCGAAAGGGTTTGAAACAGTATTTCGGGAGAGAATAAACAGGCCCAATCCCACCAACAAGAAGAGATTGTTTAAGTCCCCCAGTCCCAAGGGCAAAGCGGTGCCCCCGGCTGGCACAACAAACGAACCAAAACAGGGTGCCTTTAACCAAATGATGAATAAACCCAGCAAGGGCAGAGACAACCGAAAGCAAGCACAAAGCAGCAAACCAAGCAGGCAAACAATGCAGCGAAGCAAGCAAAGCAAACCAAATGCGCACCAACCCCAACCAGAACCCCCGACCAACCTCCACCGGAAACACCACCACAGGCGCTCGGCAGCGGCACTCTTTGCCGGAGACGAGCACGATGTGCCGCGGTGCGCGGTGACGAAATTGCAAGGGCAAGTTGCCGGATTGAAAAGCTTGAGCCAAACGGCGCATTGGCCGTGGCATGGAAACATGCTATGATAAAACTACATGCCCCCAAAAACAATAAGGAAAGCCTCTAAACCTAGGCCCGTGGAAGTGGCATTCTGAATAATGTTGACCCATGATTCATAAACCCGTCCCATTATTAGGGGGGTGTTCTCTCCAAAAGTAATCTGAATCCCCACTAAAAGGGGACACCCTCCTATTCATCAACCAGGGGTTTATTAATCCGGGGTTAACATTAACAAATGACATCGACCTGCAGAAGTATTGTCTTACCTCGACCAAAGAACATGTTGAGCATAGCTCAGCTGAAAACCACTTTGCGAACTTCAACCAGACGTGGACCCTTCAAAGAGGGCCAGGGGGTAAAACAAAATTAGCTCGTCGCAAGGAAATAAATTGCCACCGTTCACCAAGTTTCTGGCCATGGGGTTTGGTCAATCACTTCAATTCAATCCCGGAAGCAGACTCTTCTCCGAGCATCAGATCCAAAGCCGGCCTCTGTCAGCACATATCCATCCTTGCCCACCAGCTTGAGGCCAATCAAATCCTCAAGCTCAGGCTCGTGTTTGTTTGAGGGAGACCCCCAAATGAGCTTCATTTAGCCCTAGTGTTTCCTTTGAAGTGTTTCCTTTGAAGCCAACCAACACAACGACCTCAAAGGGGCCATACATGGCCGTATACAATCCTCAGGGGGCTACTTGGGGTCCCCAGTGGAAATGAACCAACGAAGGTCAACTGACCCCCTGCAAAACAAGCCAACTTGTTGCTGGTAGGGGTAGTGGAAGAATCGTCCAAAAAAGGTCGCCGGAGCCGCACGGATCTTCCACACTGGTACTAAACCACAACCAAGCCAAACAAAACCAGGAAAAGAATGAAAAAGAGCAAAATCAATTCGATTCTCCTCATTCACCCACCCAAAAAACACAAACAGCGATTGGTCACACAGAAAACCTGCCAAGATTCCACTGCCGACATGCAATCGTTCAGAATGTCTGCCACAACCAATACCTGGAAATAAAGAAATCTACCTGACATGATGGGATAAACATGTGAGCCACACCTCTTTTTGGTTGGGACTGCCCCCTGCTCAACCCCTTCATCTACTCAGGGTTGTTTGTGGCTCACATGGAAGCCGAGGGGAAACAAAGCCTCATATGCCTTGCATTCTCGCTGCCTGCAACCGCACTTGCTTGCAAGTCGGTCCAAAATGGAGATGGCGGATCCTGACCGAGGATTTGAGTGAACCTTGCTTGAATCATACTGTGGATGGAAGAAATCTTGCACCAGTTTGAAACCATAAATATGCATTGTTTGTTGGCATTTATAGGGGAATCGTCATTCCAGGTTTCTTATGTGGTGCAGGATTTCGTCCATCCACAGTAGTGGTTCCCCATTTTAGAGGGACCCCTTCGCTTGATGTCCTTCGGCAGGGGTCAACATTCCGAGCGAAACACCGAATGCCCGGACCTCTCATACAAAACCAATGAGCAGCGACTATTCGTTCTGCCAAGTTATGAAGGTTTACATAGGCCTGGAAGACCCGGCAGTAGAACCACCTACTCCACACATTCGCAAGCGAGATCGAAGCCCCCCCGAAGGGTAGAACCACCTACTAAAATGAGTGTTTCTGAGAATAAGGTCCTCCCTAAAATGGTTGGTTTCTCATTTTTTTTCGTGAAATACCAACCCAAAAGCGGGTTGACCAGTTTGAGAGACTCCTGAATGGCCAACGCGAATCGGCTTTGCCTCAATTCAGCCAAGCGACCGAGATGATGGAAGAGTTGCCGTGCGCAATGTTTGCGAAAGGGCCTGCCTCACACCGGAGAGACACTTCGTCGGGTCTGGTCAAAGGAAGGGCCGGGAAAAAAATGTGTTCGTGCTTTTTTGAGGGTACTTGGGTTGCAAAGTTGGCAAACCGCCGCCAAGAAAAGTAACACCTCGTGTGGGCCTGGCCATGCATGGATTCGCAGGGCCGAAAGCATGTTCAAACCAAGAAACGGTTGACTCCCTCAAAGGGTCGAATTTTGGGGCTAGTAAAACTAAAATGGACTTGACTCAAAACGGCGCGAGCCCCTAAATCTTGATTGCAACCAATATTGGTCTGGCTTAAACTTTAAACCCTCAACAAGTTGAGGAAAAAAAAAACGAAGGAGCAAGAGAGCGAAAACAGCAACGCTGTGTGTGTCTCACGTAAGAGTATCCCAATAAACTTTCTTGCTTGAGGTCGACTGCTCACTTCGTCCGTTCCAACTCGCCCCTTTCAGGTCACAGCAGAAGGACACCTACTTCGAACTGTGATGTGTAAAGGGGATAAACCACACGCGCGAGGACCAGTCAATGCACCTTTGTGTTTTGGGTGGCGGCTAGGCTACTTTGTTGTCCCTGACGATTGGGATCTTGGAAACCAGCCAAAAAGAGTTGGAACTCTGCGAGCCATGGTAAAGATTCATTGCCCTCCGATATCAGCAAGTGAGTAACCCTGATGTTTGGAGTTCTTGTGCGTGCCAAATCTCATCCCTTGCTACGGTAAGTCATTGGCGAATAATTCAGCGCTTATTTTGCCTTCCCCCCCCCCAACCCCACCCCGCCACACCCCCCCGGCTCTTGCGGACTAAAGCAACCCCTTGCAAACCTGCTTCTACAGGTTTATCAGCACCCCCCACAACTCTTTTTTCTTATGGCCCAAATCCAAAGCACTGAAAAATCCGTGGAGTTCGGGGGTGCTGCTGTGCTGGTGGGGGCTCCAATGTATTTTCAACCCAGGTGAAACGGAACTGGTCCCTGCACCAGGCCGCGTGCACCAGCGCAGGGGTGCCCTCCAACGTCTGCATGGTGTTCGGTGGCAGCGCCTCCATCATCAGCACCGCCAGCGCGCCTAAGACCAAACAACTGCCCAGGTTGGAGCTCCTGTTCTAGCTGCACGTTGATGTGGCTTGACCCAAATGTACCTAAAAATAACACATAAACACTTTCTTGAGCCTTTCTTAAGAATAGGCCAAGCAATTGAAACGAAAAGGTCAAGGGGTCGACTCGCTTTGGGCAAGTGAGAATTAAGCCAGCGATAGACCCCCCTCGAAAGAACCACCTCGACACCACCAAAACACCACCAAATGGCCCCATGGCTAGACGCTATTGGGAAACAATCATGGTCGCTGACGATCTGAGGGTTTCTGAAGACAGGCTCCTTTTGGGGAAGCCCCAAAAGGCCCACTTGCTTGTTGAAAAAGGGAAAGTATCTGAACAAACACATCCCGGATCCCTGCTTGAATTTGCCAAAGGAGCATAGAGGGAATCAGGTTGAGAAATCCAGATCGCTGAAACAGAAACCTCTTTTATTGTCAGATGTGTTTATCAAACCCCGGAGGGCTCACAAACAGTTGGGTGGTTCTTCTCCCAAACCCTGCGTTGCGTGCCTAATCTTCAGGGCAAAGAAGGACAACGGACAACGCCGCCACAGTTTGAAGGCCACACGCTTCCTGGTCAGCCCAACAAAAGTCGAAATCAACCTGCATGTTCATGGCATGAATCAGTCCCAATATGCCCAATTTCAAATGGAGAAGGGAAAACCGAAGTCTTCTCAGCCCTTGGCCTGTGATGCCAAAGTCGTCCGCTGTGATAGGCTCACCCTGCGGATGGCGATGTGTCGAATCAAATAACGGGATGCGTCATAGAAGAATCGGCAGCCGGGTGGGAGTCTCCCCCCTACCCCCCTCCCCAACAAAAAAGAAACAATGGGCGGTTTCCTCTCTGGTTTACCCACATATTTAGGCGACCCATGGTGTCTGACCAACGGGTTCTTGGATGACATGACTGTCCTTTCGCGCAAGCTGAAACCTGTGCCCTGATGGCCGTGAATTTTCAACTAACCCAAAGCAAACAAGTGTGTCCACTGCAACGGGTTTCTCTCCTCTAAAATGGGTCGTTGACAGCCGAGCGGAGGCCTAAAACTATGCTTCGCTGTGTTCCTTCGATACGGCCTTCGCTCGAACCTTTTTGCGCCCCTCAGTTGTCCCTTCGAGCACCTTTCATCCTGGGGCTTTTGTGGGCGGTTTTGGCAAACTCAGCTCAAAAGTCGCGACTCTTCGGTGTACAGAGCGATACACAAAGCATAGTCTGGCAGCTTCAGCTTGAAAATGCCAACTTTCAGTACAAGTGCAGCTAGCCTTCCGCGGGCCTTCGCCTGAAGATAAACCAGGGCCTTTCGCGGGCCTTCGCGAACCTTTCGCGGATGGTCGTGTGCGAAAACTTCTGCTTTTGGCCTTTAGGGAAAAACCAGCCCCACAAAAGATCGAGGCGGCTGAATTCAATTGTTTTCAACAAACAATGGCCCCTGAGATCTGGCAAAGACCAGCCATGATAGAAGATACACTTTGATTCAACACATTTCTCCCAAATGAAAGGAAACTACCATTCGGAGGGAACGTTCAGGTGCAGAATCTAAACCCCCTGATGTAGGAGTTCTCCTTTGGCCTTTGAAGTACGGCCATACCTCAATCTTGTTTGATGCAAGACACGCATCCCTGCCCGCATTTTTTTTTTTTTTAAAAAAAAAAAAAAAAACTCAGGGCTTCTTCTGGGACGATCTGCAAGAAAACTAAAACAGCAAACCCGGGATTTTTTCAGGGCGGATGCCTGGTTTCAACACCTGAGGTGGAGAAGGGCAGCCAGGCTTTCTGCCATGACCCGTTTGACACGTTTGAAGTGTAGCACCCCTCGAAAAAGTCTCCTAACTTATTTCGAGGTGGAGATGGTTGACCTTGTGACCGCTCTGGGTGAATTATAGTATTTCACCTGAAATAAGGTGGTTGGGGAGATGGTCCCCACATAAACCACCCTTTGGGGTGAACTCGGTCCTGTGAGGTCGTCATATTTCACCCAGACCAAGCCCTCTGCTCGCTCCCTTCGGCCTTCCGGGAATAGCAGCAGATCATCTTCCCCAGTCTGGCGCGGAGGTCCTTCAAATCGGTGGCCAGCGCCAGGATCGCCATGATCTCCTCCCATGGAAAAGCCCGCGGGGCTGAGTGGAGGGCAACCAAATAAAAGGTCCAAGCTTTATATTTGGCTGTGGGTCAAAGACAGGTACCCAAAATGGAACCCTGGTAAATGGAAACATGGATTAACATCTGCGGTCCCCTGGTGGTTAAAATTTTGACCCGTGCTCATTTACCACTAAAATGGTCCAAACCCAAAAAGTTTAATGTTCATGAACTCAGGAAGTGAGGAACAGCCCCGCCCGGGTGGATGGGGCTGCTCTTCCAAAGGCGGGGGGGGGGCTGTAGGCGAAGTGACCAAAGGCACTTATAAGCCCTTTTCAGGTCTGCCCAGCGCGCCATGGGTGTGTGTGCCCCAAAAAGTCGACGATATTTTTCGGGGAGGTACAGGACCCGGGGTGATATGAGCCGTGGTCAGAACTACTTGTTTCCCCAACACAACGTTGCAAAACTTGTAAGTCGATCCCCAAGTTTTTGTCCGAGCTTAGTTGCTCGGCACCATAGACTGGACATTTTGACAGATCTGAAGATAGTACCTGCACAGCACGTGGAAGTTGAATAGACAGGGGGCCACTAACATCAGCTAACATGTTCGAAGGCTCAAGCGTCCTTAGCTTCCCTCTAGGCTTAATGTTGACCCCCCCAACTTCCAGGATTGCACCACTTTTTGTCCTACCCATCTTCGGAGAGCGCGCCATGCAACCGCAAGATCTTCCAAAGGATCCAGTTTCCGGGGCCAGTTTCTGGGGTGTCCCTTGCAAGGGGAAGAATTCGCTCGGATCAATTTGGAGGAGGTCTGGCCCAAATGGATGTTTCTCAAGATGCAGGGACCCCGATTCTGGTTGGACATCCAGCCCCGGTCCGAGCTCACAGTGATGCCATAGGAGGTGGTGCGCTTGAGCTGCTCGTTCTTCTTCTTCCTTACTGGGTAACGGGTATCTCACTGAGTGACTTGGGGCCGCAATGGCGTGCCTAACATGCTTGTTCAGTCCAGACTCCTGTGAAGTGAGCAAATCAGAGGTACCTGTTAGAAACCCTCCAGAAAAAACAGCATCCAATGACGGACTCAACTCTGTTCTCAGCTTCAAGTAATTTTTGTCTACAAGGATGCCTTAAGGGACCCGGCATCTTCACCTGACCTGTAAACATCCGGGTTCTGAAAGCAGCATCAAACGTGATGAGTTCTCACCCAAACGGGCGAACTGTTGAACTGTTGGCAACACGCCAGAGAAACGCCTCCCCCCAACCGGGAACACGTGCATACATTCGGGTGAATTGCAATGATTCCCCAACCTGAATTACGACATGGAGGCCCAAGAAGGAAAGCAACAGGCCGTGGGGCCAAATCGGACGCACACCAAAAGCCTACTGCAAGTTGTTTGATTGCATTGGCCAAACATGATGTTGCAAACAGTTCAGGCGCTTTGGGTGCAGGACTGGATCACCTGACCAATGTTTGACTTGTTCTTTGCAAACACCCCACTCTGACTCCTCAGCCTCTCTTCTCTGGTTTGGATTGGTGGTTTGGTGGTTAGGGAGGTGGTTTCCCATTTACCCACAAGAACCAGGCCTTCAAATCCACATCCAAACCAAGCCAATTCCTCAGTCGCGAGTAGGACCCAGGAATGAAGGTTCTCCTTTTGGGGGCCATGACCAAAATTGGACCCTGGGCAAAAAAAAGAAGCTCAGGTGATATCCCCAACAGCATGCGGAGCTCTTTAGTGCTCGCACCACCCCACAGCCCTCACAGAAGCTCGTGGAACCCTGGCGGAACCCTGGTGGAACCCTGGTGGAACCCTCATGGAACCTTACCTCAGGGCCCCGGACCACCCCGGAGCCTATCTGGGCTGAGACCCCAAAGCTTTCAGCTGTTTGGGAAGAAGCAGATCCGGTCCCTTGATCCCGTCGATTCGCTTTCAGATACCTCGATCCCAAGTACCAAACCCCCGATTCGCCAAGCTTCGAGAACTCCGAGCCGCTGAGACCCACCTCCACCTTCCGCAGGTACTTGTCGTCTGAGCCGGGGAGGAGCCCGCCGGCCAGTTGGGAGCCGCGTCGAGTTGTCTCTCGGCTGATTTCTCTTGCTGGAAGGAAGCCTTTGCAACAAGTTCTTCACTTTTTGTGGGTTCGATCCGGACATCCACTGTTTCCAAAACGAAGTTGTAGACCATAACGTTGTGGGTCTTGCAGTCTTATCTGAGATGAGTACGCACCGTTCTCTTGGGAAACCGCAACAGGCTTTGATGATCTAAGCTTTGAACTCTCGGGGAAGCACAAAACATGGTTCCACACTTTGGGTTCCATTTTTGACTACCCCAAGGTAGACTTAAGCCCAGGGGTGGTTGGTTTCCCCAAAAGAGGAACTCTCTAATTTTAAGTCTCACCTTGGGGCAGTCTAAAAATGGAGCCATGGTTCCACAATTTATTGAAGCCTGATAGCTTCACATTAGAATGTTGATGCCATTTATGGGGAAATCGCCCAAATCTGATCTATCTGGGCTGTCCTCAGATCTCCTGCCAATATCGTTTGGTGGGTTGAATAGAAACCCCCAAAGCACCTCAAGGCATGGCTTGGACCCAACTTTGTGGTTATATGCCTTTAGATTCAAATCCTAGAGGATGCTGAACTTGACTATCCCGCCCAAAAGCTAGGTCCTCCAGTAGAGAGGTTAGAATAAGGGCACCCTTTTTTCTGTAGTCGATTTTCGTAGGGGTCCCGAACCCTCCCAACCAAAAAAAGAAATGGTGAGAAAGGGCACTGAGGGACCCAGAAAGGCTCACCCGGCTCGCAAGACTGGGGCCCCAGACTACAGTCCGTGACTCGCTTCCAAGTGATGGTGTTGGGGTCGATGTCCAGGACGCAAAACTTCTCGATCTCCTCCTGGAAAAGCGATACACTTGTGGCTTACACAGGCCCAAGCCTGGGAAAAAAAAGGTGATCACCTTTTGGGACGTTTACCAAAAATAGACCAAAAAGGAGAAACCAAAAGGTCAATTGGTCGATTCGCTTTGGGCAAGTGAGGTGGCTGTGCATGATGTGTTCTTTCCGCCAGGGCGTGCTGTAAACTTGGGATTTCAACCATCCTCTGGACCATATCCCTTGGCTTCCTCCAAATTCTGCTAAGGTAAGGCGGAAAGGTAAGGTGGATGGGAAGGGGGTTCGGCCGTGCAATCCCATCAACCAAAAAATTGCCGTTGGCTCTAGCCAAGCATTCTTACTTGACTATGGGCTGTGGAAAATCATGCATTCTGTGACGCATGGTTGATGCTCATCCCCATTCCTGCATCATCTTTGACGGGATTCCCGAAGGGCCCGTCATGCAGGCCTTGATGCATTTCCGCCACTCGTCTCGACATGTGCCAAATGATTGGATAAGCGCAAGGAATCCATTGATCTGGAACTTGTACTAGGGAACCCAACATTTTTGTGGCATTGCAGTTCAATTGGTTAGATCTTTGGGCTGATGATTCACATGGTTGGATTCCTGTCCAGGGAGCAAGCCAACCAGACACGTAGGACTGTGCCGTGCATTGCGGTTGGGTTACTCAAATGCGTTGGCTGAGAGGCCTCTGCAAGTTGATCTGCTTGGCTGCCTGCAACAATTCTCCCCGAAGGGAAACTTCTGAGATTTCTCCGGGACTGAAACCGTTGGAGTTTACACTGTTGCCCACTCCCATGACCTACCTTACAATATGACATGCTCAACTTCCCGCACGTGTTAGCTTCAAAGGACACCTCTTCTGACCAAAAGCAATCAACAGGACCCCAGATCTAGAGACCCGGTCCCGTTTATGTCCCATATCCCAAACGCGGGGTCCCGGTTATCCTTACCCCGCGCTGCTTCGCTCCTCGGTCAGCAAATTGGGATCGTGCTTCTTGTGGCTGAGCCCTAGCTTCTCGAGCCGTGCGTACATGGAGGGCTCAAACTGCCGCTTCCCCGACTTGTCGGCGGGGCACAAACGGCTCCAAATGAACTTCGCCGATGAGCTATTCCTCAGAACTCGGTGCGCTTCCTTTACCCGTGGAATCCAACCGGCTCTCTTTGCTCAAGGTTGGATGTGAAGCTCGCTATGTACACATACACGCTGTTTTGTCAGGCTTCAGTGCTTTCGTCTGTCTAAACCGCCTTCATCCCCTGCACGCAATTTCTCCTTTCCTGAGCTTGCTGAAAAGATGGTGACACGCGGTGAGTTGAAAGCAAGATGCTCGTGATAGTACCGCGTGTCGATCGCCGCAGCGAAGAGGTTGTGAGCAGCAGTGATGGCGTGAATGTCCCCGGTCATGTGCAAGTTGAAGTCCTCTGGAGCTTATTGCCATATCATCAGCGATTTAGAATTTATGCGCTTCCCCAAAGGACATGGACAATTCAGGGGCTCGCCCCCGGGTGTTTGCTCGGATTTCCCCAAATCAGAAGTTGATGAATTTACTGGTGGTGTCCATTGCAACGATCGCCACCTAATTATTGGAGGTTCCATTTAGGGACATCTCGAGAAAGCCCTTGGTCTCGCGTTCGATCAGAATGACTGGAGGCGAGCGGTCCAAGGCTCTGAATGTCTCAAATGTTTTAGCTCCAATACGAAAGAGTGCAAGACTCAGATGCCCAGTGGCCATGGGAAAAAAGGGCATCCGTTTTTGGTTGGTTGACTTTGAAGGGGAACCCTTCCCAAAAACAGGAACAATGGGCACCACTGGGCAACTGGGAAGACCCCAGCCAAGAGTCAGGAAATCGATGCGATCGCTCCGTCCTCCATGGGGAAGCACTGGGCGTAGCCGCCCCCAGCCGCACCACCCTTGATGCCAAAGGTCGGGCCCATGGAGGGCTGGCGGATGTTTGTGAGCACCTGGCGGACGAAATCCGGGAGAAGAAATGCAATCTGAAAATAGGCCCCCAATGCTGCGTGTCCTTTTGGGTCCCCTGTCAAACTACGAGCCCAAAAAGAACTAAAAAACAGAAGGAGGTCAATGTCTGGTCCTTTTGGGCGTTTTGTGCTCCAGTACGGAGTGAAGTAGGCAACAACGTATAACCATGGTAAGGCAACTATCCCCAGTCCAGGCTATTCTCATATATAACGCCTGATTATTTTCGGCCAGTCAGGAAAATGACCGTCCCCTAGAAGGATATTATTCCACACATTTAGCGGTGTTTGGCTTCCACGTTCATCTGAAGGGAGTAGACGTGGGTCAAACATCCACAAAGTAACTGCTGGACATCATGAGGGATGCTCCAGGTTCCACCTTATTTTCCACTCGCAACCACGGAAGCCATGGGACATGCAGGGTTCCCTATATATTACTCTTGACACACCACCCCTACCAAGAGAAGTGCAAATTAGATGGGCCAAAAGCTGATGTTCAAAACCACAAGGGAATTCTAGCTTCCCTCGAATTGCAATTGGTGGCTTGGATTAGTGGTTTGGAGGTTGGGGGGGCTCCACTTTAGACTCTAAACAGGGGTTTACACCAAATCCAAGCCCCCAATCCACATCACTAAGGGTCACCTGCAGAAATAGAGGGCCCCCCGACATGGCCTGACATCTGTCAAACACACCTCAAATGTTGATTCATACTAAATGGGGTGTGAAACTTGAAGTTGAAAACCAAAAGTGGACATAAAGGCCAACAAAGTGACGTTTCAAACCAACACGGAAACAGACTTAAACAGACGGACCAACAATCTATGATGCTCAAAAAACACATATGGACATGGGTGCGTCTGAAAATAGGGGACCCAAAAATGGTGATTGTCCTGTTGGTGTCCCTTTAAGACCACCCCGAGGTCCCTCAAAAAAACACACACGCACCCATATAGGGACCCCTGACCTCTGTCAAACCAAGCATTTTCCGCCTTAGAGCCTATTTTGCAGGCTCCAACCCCCAAACACCAACACCCTAAACAATCAAGGGAGGTTGCCCGGCCCCCTTCAGTGTCCAGCATCCCCCCCACCCCCCAAAAACCAAAATTCGGCCGTGGAGTCTCCGGACGTCCAAATCCCCCCAAACCCCGAAACCCCCCCAAACCCCTGAAACCCCAAAAGTCCTGAAACCCCTGAAACCCCCCAACCCCCCCCCCTAAAACCCCCCCAACCACCCACCCCCCCCGCCTTTTGCCCCAAGAAGGCGCCCAGCGCCTGAGACACCCCCACCGTGGTGGTGGACTTCCCCTCACCCAAGGGCGTGGGGTTGATGCCGCAGACCACCACGTAGTGACCTCGTCTTGAGGAAAACGGAAGCATGCGACAGGCGCGGGGTGAACACGGAATGTATCATTTTCTCTTTTGGTTGGAACCTTTGGTTGTTCCAAGGCCACAAAAAGGTCATGGTTGGTCCTTTCTTTTTGGGGGGAACCCCCAAAAAAGTACTCTCAGAAAAGGTACCCACCCACCCCATGTTTGTCTTGTTCTCTTTCTTTGGGGGGCACTTCCCTTTAGTTGGTTTGAAGGCACAAAACCAAAAGGAAGCCGACCATCGACCATTTTGAGGGCACCTCATGTTGAGATAAACCCAAGTTCCCCAAACCCGAAACAAGTTGCTGTTGAAACCAACCAAAACGCTGGGCTATCCTAAACACAACATCCATACTAGGTTCTCCTGATCTTACAAACCTTAGTCGAAGGATTTCAAAGACTGAGTTATCGGCCAAGCCGGTTAGAGCACGCAAATGGAAAAACTCCCAAATGGTGAAACCATGGCTCCCTCTATAAATGGGATCAAACAGGATTCCTCGTCAACGTCTCAAGTTTGCTTTGACCCCTCGAGGCACCGTTGGGCTTGCCCTTCAACTTCTCCCAGAGGTCGAGGTTGATCTTGCCTTTGTACGGGCCGTAAGACAAGATGTCCTCAGGAAGAGCTTGCGAAGTGCGGATTTGCCAGGCAAAAGGACTCTCAGGCAGAAGAAAAAACAAACAGGCAAAAAGAGTGACGCGGACATCTGCTTCTCTAGCTGTACTCTCTTCATTCTGTTCAAGGATTCTCTCAACTCAGAAAATGGGTTTCCGAAGAGACGGCTGGATAATAATTGGAACCCCGGAAGTATGCTTAAAGTAGTCTAGATTTAGATTGAGTACCGGTCATGCTTGATGTGAATAATTTAGGTTGTTAGTGCAGGCATTTTCAAATAGAGCCAATCCGGATATTCTAGATGTGACAAACATGTCAATCCCACCCCTTGCAAAATAGAGATTCTGTGTTGATTTGCTTCATCCAATAAAGTAATACGTAATGTAATCTTCTTGGCTTTCAAGTCGATGGGGCCTTGCGTCGGTTCCCCGGGTCCGCAAACCAAAAGCAAAGACTACGTGTTTCTGAAGTTGCTCAGGTGAACCAAATCAGCGGTTCAAAATCAACTCATGGCTTCCCTTTGAATCTGGTTCCTGTGAAACATGTGCGCACAGAAATATGCTTTACCGGACCCAAAAACAGGCTCTAACAAGCGTGTTCCGAGCAACGGAAAATGATGTGCGCAACACCCGAAAGGAACCCGCTTGTGTGTTCGTCCGGGTCAACTCAGTTGCTCAACGGGAGGGGGGCGGGGTTGTTTGGGTGTTTTCCTTGGCGACCCCTGAATTGTCTCCAAATTCGCAAAGCCCCAAATGGCTGACGTTGCTTTAAAGCTTTCACACCCACCAAAAGTGGTCCCCCCTTTTCAAAGGACAAACATAGGTGGCGGGCTTAACCGGTTTGAGAGTACCTTTCTTGGTTTCGAAGGGCCAATTCTGGGGGCGGGTCCTATTCAATACAATATTGACTTCTTTTAAGTCCATCATTTGGTACTTTAAACCATTCACTACATTAATTACAATATAATTATATATGATGTCTTTCTTCTCTCAAAAAAAAGAAATGAAACCAATTCTTTCGGTCCGAATCCGGCAGTCCTTCTTATTCTAACCAATTGTTTTTGATCCGAATCCGGGAGTCGACAAATCCGAATCCGAGGCTCCTGATCCTTGAGGCCAAAGGCCCCTGCGAAGACCTCCTTCACCAGCACCGGCGTCACCTTCCGAATCCGTGGGGCCCTATTTGGGCGGGGTTCTTTACAGGAGAACCCAAAAGGAAAACCCGAGAAAACTTCCGGCCATTCTGGGGGGTAAAAAAAAACCAGCCATTTTGTATTTTTTGGGGGGAGTCTAAAAGAAGACACACCTAAATCATGTTTTTCTAGAAAGAAGAAAGAAGCCAAATTGGCGCCATCAAAACTCCGTTTCTTTGGCCGATTGGGTCATGGTTCCCTCAACTGCAATCATGACAATGGTTCAGTCAACCCCAAATAAAGGAAGCGGTCCTTTGACCATGGCACAGTTGATACCAGCATGGCTATGATTTCTGGTCAAACACTTGGTGGACATGATTTATGTCCACCAGCCACTAGTCATGGGAATCTCACTTGCCTTTTAGGGACCCAAATGCCACGGGACTTCCCTTCAAATCTCATTGAAAGTGGCATGCACATATCCGATACTGGTCTCCATCCCTTGAAGCTGGGAGCCAATGTGAAAAGATATGGATTGCCAAACGAATAATGTTGACCCCAGATTAATAAACCCCTGCTCACTAGGGGCGTCCCCTCCAAAAGTGGTCTGCATCCACTAAAGGCAGGGACACCTCCCCCTTACATAAAATGGGGGTTGATTAATCTGGATACCTTCAGGTACCCATGGCAAAACAAACAAAACTAACGCCTTTAACGCGAGTACTTTGGGGTTGGCTTTTGGCCGATTATTGAACTTCAATCATCTGAGAGCCAGCCGTCAATAGGGGTCGGTCGCTGCTCACCAGTTTGGGGATGCTTCTTTACAACCATCTTGGTAGAAAAAACATGTTCAAAGGGAAGTACCCGCGTCCCAAATATACCGCCTGGCACAAAGTTCCGGTCTCAAATGAGTTTTGGATGGACCCTGATGGGATCCCGGCTGATGAACAACCCCCTGTTTGGTTTAGGGGCCCGCGCTGGGAACTGCGCTGCCGGGTGGATTTATGAGACATCAGGTTTGCCGACCTCAGGAGCTAGGGCTGCGGATGGACGACATCCTGCACCTAGGAAAGTTTAGGAGGCAAACAAACAATGGTTTCAACTATGATGTCTTAGGTGGTGCGCAGTTTCGTCCATCCACAGAAATTGGCTTCACTACGAGGGGGTCGAACCATTTTCCAGAAAAGGTGGCAAAAAGACTGGTCCAATGAGGGTTCTCGCGTGCATCCCAAGCGTCTGACTGCGCCACGTCGATGTCCGAGGGCACGGGCGAGACCGGCTTCACGGGCTTGGCGGTGGGGCAGCCTCATGAATGGGATGGTCGTGAGCCCTGTCTGGAGCTGGGAGCTGGCGTTCCATCTTTTGTCCACCCACTTCCTGCGTGGATGGACTAAAACACCTCAAATTAAATGTTCTCTAGGTCCTCCAGTAGAGGGGTTAGAATAAGGGCACCCTTTTTTCTCCCTTGTCTATTCTAGTAGGGGAACCCTCCCAACCAAAACAGAAATGGTACAAGGGCACTGGGGGGGACCTAGTTCTTGCTGTATACGAGTAACATCGACGTTAATCAAAGTCCGGGACCTCAGGGAGTGAAACCAAACCAACAATGGGCTTCCTTCGAGTTGTCTACCCCTTCACCGCCTTCTGAGCGGTGAAAGGATGTCTTTCGTAAAAACTTGGAAATATTGGTCACGCTGGTGGACATTTAGCGAGTTCTTCCAGACACCATATGTGCATAGAACATGGAACATAGTGGACATGTTGACCGAACCGCATATTAATCAACACTTGCCATGAAATGGGTCCTGCCCAAAACTCATGGAATAGAGTCACAATGGAGAAAACCCTTGGTTGGGAACATCCCCGTAGAGAAAGTTCCCACAGTTGAGCGTGCGTCACTTGTCCAGTGGCAGCTATCAAGGAGAGCTTTGTGCAACCTCGTTGGGGCTTCTTTGACGCAATGTCAATGGAGAGGCCTCGAAATTAACCCCAAAGGTGGAGTTTCCTTATGTTCGGTTTAAAACTTTAAACCAACAAGAAGGCAGAAAACCAGGCCCAGGAAACCAATCACAAATTGTTTTACCAACGTGCTTCGATGCTGAGGCCAAATATCCCCTGAGCACGCGCAAAGACTCGAAGAGAACCTCGAAGCACGCCTGCGCCAGAGCTCTTCTTGGACCAGAATCCATCGCCTGGACTGCCAGACATCAGCTCGCAGTGCTTCCGCTTTCGCAAAGTAATTCATCGACCCCAACAAATGAGAGTTCTCTGAAAGGAAGCTTCATGGGTCGAATCGGCGGCGAACCCGAAACTTGGGTGAGGTCGCTATTTCAGCTCGCCAAGATATTAGGCTTCTAGCCGTCCACTCACTGCGTTCTAGGATCCCTTCTCTTCGGAATCTGCCTAAAACCCACGAACAATGGGTGGTGTCGGAACAGAACGCTGGGTGAAAGGACTGGGAGCTGGTAGAATGTTTGCGAACATGAGCGGGAAACCTTCCCTTAGGCATCAAATCACCGCATGTTGCCCGCACATCCCAAAGGTTGAAAAGGGTCGCCTGCCAAACTTTGATCACATCCAAAAAGACCAGCGCTGTATTGGGAATATTTCTTAAGAATACTCAACGAACAACCAAAGACAACTCTGTAAATAATAATAGGGGCATCATGGACAAGCTGGCTTCATAACCCCAGGTCAGCTCTATGCCCAGGTACGCATGAACAACTGCCAATCTTGCTGGGACACTCTATGGACTTGGAAATGGGAGGGGGGGGAATCGGTTGGAGCGAGGCCCATCGGTTTTTGTGGCACTTTGCCGGGCATTCCAATCTGTGTTTGGAAGCCCTCTTTCGCAGGCGGCGGGCGGCCACTTCTAGTTTGGGATCTGGTTGTAATTTCACGTCTTGAAGTGCTTTGCCACTTCAAGTGGAACCCGCATGTCACCGGCCAAGAGTCCGAGCCCGATGTGAGGTCTGGTCAAAATGTCCGGTCTATGGTCAAGTTGGGATTCAAATAGCGGACGAACGCAGGGATGGCAGGTGAACTGTCCCCATGCTGCGGGGAACAAAAACAACCGACCGGTCGATTGCTCCATCGCAAACATGCGTGGCCAATGTGGTTGATGGTAGAAGCTAAAGGGGGCTGCAAGCACCCTATCATGTCACAAGTAACGATTATCATCATGCAGTGGCCAACAGTATGGAATCTGAATCAAGCTATAGCCAAACTGATCAACGGGTTCATTTTGATCCCTTACCACCACCAATTAGATGAGGACTACCTGAAAACCAACAAACCGCAAAAAGCAACGTGTTTCTCTCAAATCAGATAGGTGGGTGATTTGTGACTGTCCTTAAATCCGTGCGGAAAAATAGAGAGGACAGAAAAGGGTCCCCCGGTTGTTTGAGAATCCCCCCCCGCCCCAACAACCCCAACAAACGTGCGGCCCCGGCGCACTTCAGCTCCCTCTTGCTCAGCACGGGCGCAAAAGGCGCCGCTGCCGCCACAGCCACCAAAGGCCGGTACCACATGGCGATTGAAGGCGAGGGTCCAAGATAGTCAAGCGACTAGTTGACAGAAACACGCCTCAAACACCAGGGGAAACACACACAGAAATTCATACAAACACAAAAGGAGGAGGGTTTAGGGGTAAGTACAAGTAGACGTATTTGTTTCGCAAAAAAAAATGCGCCTGCGAAAGAAAAGCAAGGTTTCTTGGAAAAGAAGCTGTTTTGACAGGTCCATGGCATTTTTGTCCATGCCCTGGAATGTTCCTTTGTCATGGCTATCGCCGAGGGCCTTTGAGCAAAAGGCGAGGCCAAAAGCCTGCAGCAGAGATATGTTGCGCGCACAGCGTTTGGGAGTTCTGCAAATACTAGCTTTTGAACGACACATTGAGGAACCTAAACAGACTAGATTGAGGTGGCTTGATATCTTTCAATGTTTCTGAAATGGTTAGAAGGTTTGCTTGACTGATGAACGCCCTGCCAATCTGATTTTAAAGTTGTGTGTACCCTATGAAATCCCCTTCACTACACGTCTGGGCTGCAGAAACTTCTAAGTGTTTGTGCTCCATACGAACAAACAACGTTTCAAGGAATCAGGCCGGATCCGCGTGGCTGGGAAAATTCCAACCTTCATATACCGCCGAAAAATGGCGGGCACAGAAACTCATAATCAGAGCTTTTGTAATAAATTTAGTCCACCCTAAAATATGACACATATCATGTTTCATATTTGTCTACCCACCTAAAATAGCTTGGGAGGAGCCCAATGGTTGTTCGGCAACAAAAGGAAACCAGCTCTTTTGAGAGCCATTGCCCTTTGCCACAGACCCATATTCGGCTTTGTCGCCAAAACCGGGGAACCCCCCAAAACGGGTGGAGTGTCCTCTGGGTTTTCCATTTCAACCAATGTGCCCCAAATACACCCAGCCCGTAGCCCGTCGCTCGTAGCTCGTAGCTCGTGGCTCGTAGCTCCGCGTCGACGCGCCTCCGGCCGGGTCTCCGGTGGCATCCTCGCCAGGGGATGCTGGCGGACACCGAAGGGCTGGTGCACCTCGCGCATCGAAGCGCCGAAGCGACGCAGCGACATGAAGCGAGTAGTAGTAGTAGTAGTAGTAGTAAGGTAGTAGTAGTAGTAGTAGTAGTAGTAGTAGTAGTAGTAGTAGTAGTAGTAGTAGTAGTAGTAGTAGTAGTAGTAGTAGTAGTAGTAGTAGTAGTAGGCATGTGGCCTTTAGCTCAAGACAAAGGATCTATGCAGAGGCTACGCGGACGATTATCGACAGTTCCCTTTGCTAGTGGCTACGAGGAGGCTACGCAAGGCTATGCGGTCCCAGGAGGAGGCTACACCATGCCAGTTCCCCGCTCCTTTTGGCTCCCGCATAAGAAAAAAAACGCTGCTCAGTTGATCCAAAGTAAACACCCCATCCCAACGGCTTCTGTCCAGGCGTGAATCTGTCCTCACTGTCCTCCTCCAAAATAGCACCCCAACAAGACTTGGCTCCATTACCATTTAGGGCTGTGACCCTTGATTCGGGGGCCAATGTTTTTTAAAAGGGGTCCAGTTGCTCCCCTACACATTACTCGGTTGCCCAGCATACAGGTTTTTCATAACAAAACACGGGAAGACCAAAAGGTCAAAAGGTCGATTGGCTTTGGACAACTTAGATTAACATGGAACCCAGAGAAAGGTTCCCGCTTCCCAAAAGGAGTCCTACAAAAACAAATCTGGGATCTTTGGGTTCCATGTCAATGAATCTGAGTATTTCATTCCGAGCCCGCCAAAGAAAAAAAGGGAAAATGGGTCCACTCGACTGGTTTGGCCGCTGAGACCTGAAAATGAGAGGCGTTTCGATTTGGCAAAACAATAATAATCATGGTTTCCCTTCCATGGTTTCCCGCAAGCAAAGGGCCCCGCCCCCAAACAAAAACAGTAGACAAACAACACAATTCCCAGAAGGTACCACTCCGCCCCCCCCCCAACAAAAAAAGCAAAACAAAACAAACAACAGATCAAACAACACATTTTGACGTGTCCAGAAAAATGTGCCCATTGACCGAACTTGGCCCCGCGCCCTTCCGACTCGGCTCGGGTCGCCTGGCGCCCAAACGCGAACCGGTGCAATCTACCAGACTCGCCATTGGCTGAAAAGTGATGCCGGGATAATATTGCGGTGGGTCAAAACCAATGGGATCCCATTTTGGGGTAGGCGAATTCACCACCCGTTGTAGGCTTTATTTTACCGACAAAAATAAGTAAAACCATCAACGGGCAAGCTTGAAGCGACCAGCAGGTGATCGCTACGTCTAGCGGACCCAATTTTGGAGTAGGGCGCCTTCTGCGCCTTGTCTGAATCAGTTCACCCACGGCTAGGGCCAAAGTCAGATGGGGAAATAGGTCATGCTGACCTCAAAAAAAAACCCGGCTTATTAATTTGGAGTGTCCCTGCGTTTAGTAGGGAATCATCACTTTTGGAGCCTCCCAAATAAATAACCTGGGGTTGGTTAATATGGGGTCACCAGTACCCTTGCGGTTGAGTTTCAACAGAAAACAAAGCGCCGGGTGTCTGATGCGCCGCGTTCGGCTTTGCCTGGTGCCTCCTCTTTCTTGGCCGCCTGGCAAGACGCTCTCTACTGGTCTCCAGTGAAACTGCCACTTTTGAAGGTCCGACAAAGAACCATTGAGGGACTCCTGGCAGAACCTTCTCTTTTGAGAGGCGGGGTTCTCGCAATTTTGAAGATCAATCCTCAAAAGATAGCATTGCCGGCAAAGTGGTATACCCCGGTAGTTGCGTCATCGCAAGGCACCTCAAGTATCAGTCGCTGGAATGACCTCGAAGCTCTAGTAGATACTTAAAGCAACAACATGTGTTGTCAAGGAACAACACTCTCCCGCGAAGCATGTCTGACCTTTTCACGGGAGGGGGAAGGGGAGCAAGGGGGCCACTTTGAGGTCTTGCAGGGGCTCGTATCGCATTGCTCCGAGCCACACTCGAAAAACGGCCAGGCAACAAACAAACCACATAAGCAAGCATTAGACGGGGGCCGACTCACAGACGGACAAACAACCAACCGAACTGAACTGAACAAGCGGACGCAGAAACAAGCACACCAAACAAACGAACAAACGCACCGACAAACAAATCAAAATAAACAATCAAACAAGCAAACAAACAAGCAAGCAAGCAAACGAACAAACAAACAAACAAGCAAGCAAACAAACATATCAAAGTATCAAACTATGTCAAACATCACACAAACACATCAAACAAACACATCAAACAAACGCATAAACAAACATATCAAACAAGCACATCAAACAATAACATCAAACAAGAACATCAAACAAACACATCAAACGCACAGAAAAAACCAAACAAACAAGCAAGCAAGTAAATCAGAGCGATTCAAAGCAGCAAGGTATATCAAACAAATACAACGAAAACAATACAATCAACGAAAACGACAACGAACGAACAACCCACCCAACCCACCCACCCACCCACCCACCCACCCACCCACCCACCCACCCACCCACCCAACCAACCAACCAACCAACCAACCAACCAACCAACCAACCTGGGAAAATCAGAGACTAATCTCTGCTAATCAACCAAGGCAGCAAATGCACCTTTGTCATCTTGAGCCATGCAATGGTAATCAGTATGAATTACATCCAAGTGGGAATGCATGGTGTACTTTCGCACGCCCCCTTGGATTAATGGAAAATGTGGAATTAATCCACACTCCACTAGCACAAATGCATTCCAAAGAATGCCAAGCTGCCTTGAAATCTTTTCTCTCTGCAAAATGTCTATGCAAAACGGGTGACCTAATCATCACCAAAAGAATTGCAATGCTGGGAAATGCACAAGGACAAGTGGTTGAATGTATTGTGGACTCGAATCACAGACAGAATGTGTTCCAAGAGTATCGCCTCCAGAATCACCAGAAAACGTCCTCTCAATGTATTGGTGTCATAGATGAATCCAAACCAAAAGTAAACTGTCATCTACAGTAATGTTGTAACTGTACCTCCACACAAATGCCGAAAACTGAATCACAAATGAAGTGGCAAATCGAACCAGGCAAAATCGCGATATCCAATGAACATAGAATCTCAATGCAAATCCAGTGTGGAATAAATGCATCCAAATCGGTGCCTGGCCAGAATCGAAATCCCAGCTCCACCAATGCTGAATCACAGCTTCGCTCTGTAATATGAATCTACCAGTGACTTGGGAATCTCCTGGTAGTCGCCCATGAATTTGTCCAATGAAGTCTTCCAGGTCTTGGGAATGAACATGTGGTAATCCCGGTACCAATGGGAATTGCTTTGCTGCAATGAATTGGCAGCGAGCATCAATTCCCCAATCTGGGCCTTGATATTGAATCCGGCCATGGAGCAAATCTCCTGCATCGCCAAGCTGTCTCTTGAATCCCAAATGTAATCCTTGAAGTGAATGATGGGGTCAATGTGAGACCTCACAAATACGTGAGTAAATGAATGCCTCATGAAATCAAGAAATCGCTGCGAATGTGGCCTGAATCCAATCACCACTGGTGTGTCCGCCAAATACTGAATCAATCTGTTCTTTGCATCACCCTCTGGTGCAAATGATCGCTCATAGCTGAATGAATACAGAAAGAATAGCAAAGACGAACGCGGGCTCAAATGGAATCCAGTAAACTGACTGTTCCAGAAACAATGTGAAGCAAGAATTGCAAATGTTCCCTTCATAGCCTCAGGAATGTTACTGGCACGGCCCTCAAAAATCCTCTTCAAATGGTTCCACATTGCTGAAGGCATGGTGAAATACAGCATGAATGGCAACATGCAAAAGTTCAAATGTTGCAAATTCCAATTGGGGTTGAATGGAATCAATCTCTCCACCCTTGGTGGGAATTGTAGCCACAAATGCCTCTCAAATGGAGTATAGGACATACTCCCAGCCGCAATGTTTGGAATGATCCTGATCAGAATCTGCGCACTCCAGGCATCGTCCGCGAATCGGTTCATGAAAATAAAATCCTGGAACCCAAATTGTTCCTGTTGCTGGCCGCTGAATAGAATCTGCCACAACATCGTGGCCGTAATGAA